CCCTAAACAATATATTGTATTGTTACTAACATCTAGGGTCTTAATGTAAGTTGAGAGTGCTCAGCATGTGTGCATGCTCAGCCACTCAGTCATGTCCAGCTCTTTTGCGACCCCATGGACTGTAGCCTCCCAGGCGCCTCTGTTCATAGGGTTTCCCAGGCAAAAATACTGGTGTGGGTTCCCATTTCCTTCTCCAGGGGATCTTCCCGACCCAGGGATTGAACCTGCGCCTCTTGTGGCTCCTGCATTAACAGGTGGATTCTTTACCGCTGCACCACCTGGGAAGCCCCAAATTATTACTGACATTTAAGGTCTTCAGTTCAGTTCAGTGCAGTCACTCAGTCATGTCCAACTCTGCGACCCATGCACCACAGCATGCCAGGCCTCCCTGTCCATCACCAACTCCCAGAGTTTACCCAAACTCATTACCATTGACTCAGTGATGCCATCTAACCATCTCATCCTCTGTTGTCCCCTTCTCCTGTTGCCCTCAATCTTTCGCAGCATCAGGGTCTTTTCAAATGAGTCAGCTGTTTGCATCAGGTGGCCAAAATTTTGCGGTTTCAGCTTCATCAGTCCTTCCAATGAACACCCAGGACTGATCTCCTTTAGGATGGATTGGTTGGATCTCCTTGCAATCCAAGGGACTCTCAAGAGTCTTCTCCAACACCATAGTTCAAAAGCATCAATTCTTCAGCACTCAGCTTTCTTTAAAGTCCAACTCTCACATCCATACATGGCTACTGGAAAAACCATAGCCTTGACTAGATGGACCTTTGTTGAGAAAGTAATGTTTCTGCTTTTTAATATGCTTTCTAGGTTGATTGTAACTTTCCTTCCAAGGAGTAAGCATCTTTTAATTTCATGGCTGCAATCACCATCTGCAGTGATTTTGGAGCCCCTTAAAATAAAGTCAGCCATTGTTTCTACTGTTTCCCCATCTATTTCCCATGAAGTGATGGGACCGGATGCCATGATCTTAGTTTTCTGAATGTTGAGCTTTAAGCCAACTTTTTCATTCTCCTCTTTCACTTTCATCAAGAGGCTCTTCAGTTCCTCTTCACTTTCTGCCATAAGGATGGTGTCATCTGCATATCTGAGGTTATTGATATTTCTCCCAGCAATCTTGATTCCAGCTTGTGCTTCCTCCAGCCCAGCATTTCTCATGATGTACTCTGCATATAAGTTAAATAAGCAGGGTGACAATATACAGCCTTGACATACTCCTTTTCCTATTTGGAACCAGTTTGTTGTTCCATGTCCAGTTCTAACTGTTGCTTCCTGACCTGCATACAGGTTTCTTAAGAGTCAGGTCAGGGGGTCTGGTATTCCCATATATATGCATTAATATACTGTATTAATGTTTATCTTTCTGACTTACTTCACTCTGTATAATAGGCTCCAGTTTCATCCACCTCATTAGAACTGATTCAAATGTGTTCTTTTACTTAGTTGAGTAATATTCCATAATGTATATGTACCACAGCTTTCTTATCCATTCATCTGCCAATGGACATCTAGGTTGCTTCCATGTCCTGGCTATTGTAAGGAGCGCTGTGATGAACATTGGGGTACATGTGTCTCTTTCAGTTCTGGTTTCCTTGGTGTGTATGCCCAGTGGTGGGATTGCTGGGTCGTATGGCAGTTCTATTTCCAGATTTTTAAGGAATCTCCACACTGTTCTCCATAGTGGCTGTACTCGTTTGCATTCCCACTAGCAGTGTAAGAGGGTTCCCTTTTCTCCACACCCTCTCCAGCATTTATGCTTGTAGACTTTTTGGATAGCAGCCATTCTGACTGGCATGTAATGGTACTTCATTGTGGTTTTGATTTGCATTTCTCTGATAATGAGTGATGTTGAGCAGAAGATACTTATTTTTAAACTCTTTCAGATACAGATTCCTAGTATTTGAGTTTCACTTTGTCTGCTGTCATAGTGCTTTTTGTGTTTATGCAGGTGATTTTTAATCATGAACTCACCTTCAGCAGAATGTATGTCTCATATCCTCTGGTTTGGGAAGGTGACCTTATGGGGGTGGCTTGGGCTTTGCCTCTCAAGACCTTATTGAACTTCCTTAGTCTGAAAGTGGTTTTTATGTTAATTTCTTGGTTTGGGATTAAAAGAAACTAACAAAGCAGTGAGTATTTGGACTGTAGCCCTACTTCTCCCTTTCATGCTCCCTTCTTTGAAGTGCCAATCACTGCTAGCCTCAGTTCACTGTCCCCAGCACAACCCCAACACTGCCCCAACAATAAGCACTGGTATTTTGCTGCATCTGGTTGGCCTGGGTCAGCACAGGATCTGTAGTTTTCCTTTTGATATTTTCTTTGACTATGCCAGATGCTACCACTGAGTAATTTGGATTTTGCTGCCAAACTATACTTCCATTAGTACAGAGGGAAGACAGCACGCCAGTTCTCTTGCTGAGTGTGCGTGACTGGCAGAAGGCAGCCTTGGGTATAATGGCTCGAGGAAACGAACTGAGCCGATAATATTTTAAGAAGCAATTATCTAATTTTGTTAACTCTTGATGGCATTATTATATCATTGATGGTTATGAATTATAAAAATTACTGTTTATAAAAGAGGGAATTGAACATTTCATTTCTAATAGCTCTGTTTGGTTCTTTTTCAGTATATCTAGTGAATGTACATAACATCTCGTATCTTTTTTTTTAAATAATTTTATTTACTCTTGGCTGTGCTGACTTTTCTCTAGTTGCAGTGTGAGGGAGCTACTCTCTAGGTGCTTCTCATCACAGTGGCTCCTCTTGTGGTGGAGCCCAGGCTCCAGGGCGCAGGCTCCATAGTTGTGGTGCCTGGGCTTAGCTGCTCAACAGCGTGTGGAATCTTCCTATCAGGGATCAAGCCTGTGTCCTGGATTCTTTACCGCCGAGCTACAAGAGAAGCCCCTCATTTCTTCTTGTGTTTACTTATTTTATACTTTCTAATGTTGTATAAATATTTTATAGATTAATTTATAATAATAGCAACTGCAGAACTATGACTTTTAATGAATAGAAAAAGAACGTGCCTTCCTTTTTTGGAAACTAGTAGTTAGGTTTAAAGTCCTCCTATTAGCCTGTGAGTAGAGTACAGGCTTAGCCTCTGCAAAACATATAAAATTAGTATTGAGCTTTCAGATTAGAAAAATAATGAAGTACTCTGAGTACCAGTTTTTCTACTTTGAGTAAACAATCATTTTAAATTTCATTTCTCCAGTTATTGAGAATGGCTGTGTTTAAGTGAGGCTTGGATGAATGAGCATGGGATTGGCACAGACACATTAATACTTATTAACAAGCCTACATTAACCAAAGTGTCTATTTTATTAAAAACTAACCCTTTTAGACTATTGAGAGGAAGGTTAGTGTGAAAGGTATGCATGGATGGCTTATTTTAAAATAAGATATTTAAAATTTTTTAAAAATAAAATTTTAAATAAACATAATTTTGTTAATTTCAGACACTAAAGTACTCATTAATATTTCCATTGGTGGGAACTCTGGAACTCTAAGGAAATTGTGCTTCCTCTAAGAATCTTTCAGTTTTTCTTATTTTTGACAGCAGGGCTATTTAACATCCTATATATCCCTTTTTGCTTTGACTGCCGGGAAACTCGGGACACATTCTGCTAAAATCTGTTTAGGCCTTTCCGGCCTGCATATTTGCATTGTATTCTTTATCCCTCCACCTCATTTTGACTTTCTAATCTAATTATTTTCCTCCTTGTTCTCATATAAATTTTTTTTCTACTTATGTGTTTGTTGTAAGATGCCTCATCTTTTATAACCCAAGATTGCATATCAGTAAGTAAAATAGAATCAGTGTTCCTTTTAGTAAATCCTGCTAGTTTAATACATGTGTACACAAATATGCAGCAGTAGTTATCAACTTATAGTTAGGTTATTTTCCAGTTTTTTTTTGCTAAGATTAGCTTTTAATCTGAAATGTTCTCTGCTAGAAACCAATAGGGTATTGTACCAGAACGTAAGCTTATTTAAAATAAAGTATAGCTATGAAACTTTAAACAGTGATCCCCATTTAGAACTTAAATTTTGAAAGAAAATAGGTTGAGTTCCAATGGAAGAAGTTAATAATACACCCATGGCATGAATACCCCACCATTCCCACCCAATTCCTGGATCTTTCCGCAGATCTGCTCAGCTTCCTTTTTTCCACTGATGCAGTCAGCAACGCTAGTGACAATTGCTGTCCCGCAATGTGTTGTGAGTGTGGGCTTCTGACCCTCCTAAGGGGCTCAGGGTCCAAAGAGGTGATCAAAACTTGGCAAGGCTTATGTTCAGCCATGGTGACGGGTCCTGTGAGCATTCATGATGACACTGTGTAAAGTGCCTGGGACTTTGGGTGGATGGCAGCAGGTGTGAATGAGGGATTTCCAAGTAGGAGAACACCTGGGAAAAAAAGGGTGAGGTAGAGACAGAAACCAGTTTTCTCCCATCATTTTTGACACCTTGCAGAATCCCCTTTGCTAAGATTTGTGTTTGTTCAAGGCTACCAGGAGCTCACCAAAAAGTGGTTAACCCCCGTGACCTCAGTTTCTGTGGTCCAGAGAGCAGCCTAGTCACTGGGCTTTTCCTCTGCCCCTCACCATTCACCTGCCACTTCATCATTAATTCCTTAATAGTGATTTTCCCCTTACCACACTTCACACTCTGATAAATTCTGATAAAGCATGTGGGATTTTTTTTGGAAATAATTTGTCTCTGGTTTCCTTTCCTTTAAAATGTAGGTTGTCTTCTTTGTCTTGATTTTGCGATCAGTTGCTTTGTCTCCGGAGAGGATCACTTCTGTAGACTTAACAACATGAGTTTAATCTGCTAAATTAGAGAGACCAGCAAGAAAAGAAGAGCCTATACCTGGACTTTGAGGCATACGTTATTTTGCTAGGAGGATTAAAAAAAAAAAAAGTTCCCTTTTAACCACAGAACCCCTCCATTGGAAAGGATTCTGAAAGAAATGAAGAAAACCACCAGAAATGAAATCAGTAGCATCATGGCCTTCTGTTGACTGGACTAGACTTTTCTTCCTGCCATTCCTTGGAATGACACTGTACAGGATGTCTGCTGAGGTCATCCATCAGGTAGAAGAAGCACTTGATGAGGATGAGAAGGATGCACTGCTTTTTTTGTGCCGAGATGTTGCTGCAGATGTGGTTCCACTGAATGTCAGGGATCTTCTGGATGTTTTAAGAGAGAGAGGAAAGCTGTCTTCTGTGAGCTTGGCTGAGCTGCTCTACAGAGTGAGGCGGTTTGACTTGCTCAAGAAGGTCTTGAATACGGATGCCCCGACAGTGGAGGCCCTCCTGCGCAGGCACCCACGTCTGATTTCAGACTATAGGTAATGCATCAGCCCCTCCCGAGGCCGCCCCAGTGGGAGGGAGGGAGGGAGGTCTAGACTTCAGAACCATAGAAATGAGGACATTAAGAAAAGCAGGTTCATCCCTTAATCTACCCACCGACCTTATTCCCCTATTGATGTTCATTCTTCTGAAATGTTTGAATCCTTAGTACGTGTTTGCTTAAAGTGACTGGGTAGAAGGTCAGAATGAAACTGGAAAGGACAGATGGTACGTGTTTGCCTGATGGGTAGAATGGTACAGACAAATGACTAAGGGCTAGGACTCTTGCAGGCTTCTAATTATGAGGTCCGCTGTGTTCTTTGCTAGCCTGTGATGTCAGAGCTGGGCAATTTCCTCTTCTGAGAAAGGAAAATAACAAGCCTGACAGTAATCTTCCTGACCTTTGTAGAGCTTTGTGATCCTTCCTGAATCCCTTCTGGTCTTTCCCCTCCCAAGGAAGTTAGTGGGGGAGCTAGCTTTCTGTGAGTGTCTGTGAGGTCCCTGCTCCCGAAGGCTCTGGGGAGCCCAGATTGATGGTTTCTTCAATTGACCACATCTAGACTCCCTAAAGTTCAGAGGGGAATGGCCACTGGAGTTCCCTTTAGTTCAGACAGCCTTTGAATTGTTCCTTCCTCCTGGTCACAGAGCATTCTCTTGGAGGCTCAGAGACACACAGAAACCACAGGAAAGGCTGCATTTCTGGGGAAAGAAAGACAGTTTTTAACCTTTAATTAGTGATTCTTTTTTCTCTGGACCATTGGTCTTTAGTTATATCATTAAGGTATATTTGGAGATGATATACATGATTAAAAACTGTATTAAAGAGGGTTGCAAGCAGTGTGGCCCTTGGAACGTGGATGAGACTTGAGATTAAAGGTCTGTTTGAAGCCTCAGAACCAATTACCAGCCACGGAGGCTGAGCCAGCCGCTGCCATTGGTTGGGCTTTCATTTTCCTGCTTGTGAAGCTAAGAATAATATCTGATTTTACAAGTGTGTCTGTAAGGATTGATTGTGATAATTTAGTTTGTGAAGTACCTTTAAAAATTATTATATTTTAAATTATGTAAGGCACTTTTTAAAACCAGGTAGCACTCTACCAATATAAGGGTTAATTATCGTTGTTGCTGTTTTTCTTAATCATCTTCCCTTTCTCCAACCATTATATGATGTCAGAAATCTTAAAACTTTTCAGGAGGCACTGACTGGGTTTTTGTGAAAAAGTCAGGGGACTCTCTCCATCTTCTGTTTCCTTGCTGTAGTGAATGGAGACAGTTTGGGGACCTCTGAGTAGAGAGGCCAGGGAGTGCGAGTTTCATTTATTCATCTATTGAGTGGGCTTTATTGTGGGTTGACATATGTGAAGTGTTTGGCAAGCACTGGAGCAAAACAAAGAATCTTCCATCCTCAAGAATCTGAGAGTCTAATTGGGAAAATGGGCTTCTAAGCAGTGATGACAATGACAAGGTACCAGTGACAATCATGAGATGTCCTTGGGAGCCCCGATAAAGCATGCTGGTACTCCAGCTGTTACACAGATGACTAAGTGAGGAGGGGCTTTCTGCACAGTCCCAGTCCCCAGGATGTAGATGCCTTTTACCCTTTGAGTTTTGGGGTGAGCCAGGACAGCTCAGGCGTTACTTTGCTTCACAGTCTTGTGATTCAAAGTATGGTCCCTGTATTAGCAGCTTCAGCATCACCCAGGACTTTGTTAAACTGAGAGGATGAGATCATTTTGAATTCTATTTACGTCTTTCATCTTAGTCATTTAGGTTCTTCATTTATTTCACTATAATTTCTGGGAGAGCTGGGGTATTCTTTGGGGAAGTTTTTATTCATTGTTCTTTTCATAGCAGATGGTAAAAGAGGTACCACGTTCTACTGAAAACTCAGAAGGGATAAGTTTCCTTTTTTAATTTCCTTAAGATCTCCTGGGGTGATCTGTGCTTTCTGTTTTCTGGGGGACACATTCAAAATAGGGGCAAGAATTTGTCTCTTAACCGATTTTTGGCCTAGAGGAGACCTACGCTTTTGGTATTCTCACTAGGACTTGTGTCTGAATTTACCAAAGAACCTTGTCTGGTTTTCAGGGTGCTGATAATGGAGATTGGTGAGGATTTGGATAAGTCTGACATGTCCTCGTTAATGTTCCTCATGAGAGATTATATGGGCCGAAGCAAGATGGCCAAGGATAAGGTGAGTTTTCTTTCTTTTTCTTGATTCATGTTCCCAAGAGTCTTATCAGAAGTTGGGAGTTGTTCTCTGTGGTGTGAAGAGAGGGTATCAGGCACTTAAGCAAGGAGGCCCAGATTGAGGGTGAAGGTGGGAAGGGAGAAGAGTATGAGGGTTTTTTCATAGTAACACTGATGGGAAGAAAATTGGTTCATGAATTGAGAGGCAATAGAGTGATATTGGCTGGTGTGGCCCTGGGTGTGTGTTTCATCCTTGTATTTTATCCTTTATCTGTGCCTGGCTTATCCTTCAGCTGCTCTCCCTGGGTTGACAGGCCATCCATCCGGGAGGGTTAGGAAGTCCCATCTGCTCACGCCGAGTGGAGGCAGATGGGAAGGGCTGGCCCACTGCCACTTTGCTCTCTGCTGTCTCTCTGTCCTCAGACAGTTCAGGGTCAGCGTGGCGTCATCAGGCTGTGGGGGAGATGGGCAGGGGAAGGTCCTTGAGACGGTTGAATCCAGAGAGTGGCAGAGGTAGAGATTTGCAGTTGAAAATGAGCTAGGGGTGAAATCTCAGGGATGCTGTGGTCACTGGAAAAGTATTTAAATCCCAGCTGGCCTGATATGTACTTCTGACCTGGGGACAGGCCAGGAAAAGCTCGAGTCTCTAGTATCAATGACCTGCTTCTGAGGACTTTGGTAAATCATTGCTTAAGAATCTCCTCATGTTTCTTAATGATTGTTGTTTGATTTCTGAGATCTAGGAATATATAGGGCAACTGTATGCCCCCATTATCAAATTCAAAATGGAAAGTAAAATTAAAAAAATAGAACTCATTTTTTGGCGTCCCCTAATCTACTTATTTCTCAATCATTTATGTAGATTTAATTATGATTATTAATTGAAAAATAAAGATAGCACATTAGTAACCAAATGTTAAACAGAAAGAAAATAAAATCAGAAGTGATGCCTATTTCTGAAATGTAGTTCTTTTGCAATTCCTATGTTCCAGGCTGAACAAGTAGCAAAATACCCTCACCTTGTAATTTGACCACCTCATGTCTGTCCACTGTATCAGAATGAACTGGAATTTCCAGCACTGATTAAAACATTTTAGGAACTTCAAGATTATATCATTTAGAATTTTTCTAGTAAAGCCATTTCCCCAGCTACCTTCTCACTTCCCTTTTTCAGTAAATCCCTTAGAGTTTTTCAGTATGACACCAGCTTGGCTTTTGGGAAGAGAATTAATGCAGGAGGATTTTATTTTCAGCCTGCTTTCTTAATCCTTCATGCAAGAAATGACTCATGCATCTATTCCCAACCTAGGTGCAGTTGGCACCCCCCAAAGACTTGCCTCTTTTCTGGGTAAATTCCAGGAGTGTAATTTGCTCGTGGCCTTGGAGAGACAATAAAACAAAGCAGTCTGGTTTAGGATCCTTGAAGGTCACTCAGAGGGCTCCTCTGGTCATATTTTTTTGTTGTTATAAATTATGCAGCCTGATGTTTGCATATGAGGCCTGATGGTCAGCCTTACTGACATTTGTTTCTTGATGACGGTTCTCTTAGAGTTTCTTGGATCTTGTGGTTGAATTGGAGAAGCTAAATCTGGTTGCTCCAGATCAACTGGATTTGTTAGAAGAATGCCTGAGGAACATCAACAGAATAGACCTGAAGACAAAAATCCAGAAATACAGGCAGTCAGGTGAGCAGCATTTCGGCCCTCTCTGTGGCCTAAGGCAGTGCCTATATGTAGTGGGTTAGGTTGGTAGAGATTCACTGTACAGAACCCGAATGTCCATGGCCCTCACCAACCTGAGGCTAGCCATCAGAATCCTTTATATCCTCTATGCCCCATATCTGCTAACTTCATCACCCAGCACCCCTGACCACAGAGTCTTGGCCCTCTGTAAAATGCCGCCAAGCAGCTGTTAACATTCTGGGCTTCAGGAAGGAGTCTGCACCCCAGCTTCCTGCACTGGCTGGTGGCATTGTGTGCACTCAGGGCTGCTGAGTCTACGCCATGCCCTGCTGCCTTGCCTGACCACCATCCAAGCTCTGGAGACATCCTGTCCCTGGGATCCTGTAACTGCCTTGCATATAACCTCTTCATGAAAAAGGGCATCTTTTCTGCTGAACCCCTTCCACAAAGGGGACCAGCTCACACTGGCCTTCTCTCTCACGGCACCCCTTCCCGTGTCTTTTATTTATTTTTTATTTTATTTTTAGATTGGAGGCTAATTACTTTACAGTATTGTGGTGGTTTTTGACGTACATCCACATGGATCAGCCATGGGTGCACATGCGTTCCCCATCCTGACCCTCCCCATCCCGTCCCTCAATTCCCATGTCTTTTAGACTCACACTCAGTATGGGCTCTGCTCGCAGTCTACTGCCACCATAGAGCCTGAGGGCGTGACTGATACCCAGTGATCTGCACACAGCCCTCCCCCATGCCCATGAATGAGTCAAGATCGAGAATAGGAGTAGCACTTTTAGTCTGTTCTTAATGACATTGTGAGAAGAGTCATCTGATCTGACATTTTGAATTCAGTAAGTGGCTGGAAAGTTCTGGGTATTTTGAAAGATCATGACTGACTCTGAACTGGGCCTTTGTTGAAGATTCATTTGATGACAATTTGTCAATCTTAATAACTCAGTGCCTCGCTTCTGCTTATAGCTCAAGGACCGGACAAAAATTACGTAAATGCTCTCCAGGCATCTCTGCCAAACTTGAGTATTAAAGATCCTTCATATACCCTAAGGGTGAGTCTGAGGCAAATGTGTGGAATCCTGGCATGAAACAATTTCATAACTTTAATAAAAATGTACATATTCTCCTAGCATGTATTTCAAATTTAACATCTGAAAAAAATTGTGACAGAAATATGTATTTGTTTATAAAATATGTATAAATTCTTATAATTTCAAAGCTAATGTGTTTATTGAGATAACTTGGAAAATACAGAGAACTATATATAAAGGAAAGAATGTAAATCACCCCCAGGTCAACAGTTGTTCCCCGCTAGTCTTTTTTCCCTGTGTGCTTATGTATGCACATATGCAGACATTTTTTCCATTGTTTGTGTGTCCCTTTGAAATTTTACCTTTTTATTTTTTAGTATTTATTTATTATTTATTTGGCTGCACCAGGTCTTAGTTGTAGCATGTGAACTCTTTGCTGTGGCATGTGAGATCTAGGTCCCTGACTGGGGATCAAACTTGTGTCCCCTGCACTGCAAGACAGATTCTTAACCGCTGGACCACCAAGGAAGTCTAGAGAATTTAACTTTCTAGATAAAAATAGGTCGGACATGCCCATGGACAAAAAATTCAAAATGTGCTAAAGTGATTTTTAAAGTATGTTTCCTCTTACCCAGTCCCTTTCCCCAGAGGCAGCTGTTGTTACCCATTTTCTTCTCTGACCATTTGGAGATAATCTCTGCACATATCATATTAATTTTTACTTTTTTTCTTCTGTACAAATGGTAGCACATTGTGCCCACTGTCCTGACCTGAGAATTCTTAGAAATTTTTTCATATGAATCATATGGGACTGCCTCTATTTAATCATTGTTTTTAGTGATTGGACATAGTTTCACTTTCTAGATGTATCACAGTATGTTTTATATATGTGGATTTAGATTTTGTTATAAGACAGTACTTCAAAATAAATATCCTTGCATTTACCTCTTTGTGCATTTGCTTTTCATTGAGCTTATTTTAGTGATTTCAACAAAAGTGTAAAAGTGTTTTTGTCACTGAGTGATTGATTTGTGATCATAAATAACAGATAGTCACTTCTGGTGGTTGTGTTAGTCAGCAGTGCAAGGTCATCATCAGAATAATTGTTTAGTTAATTTTCTATACTGAGAATTTAATCTTACTGTAATCTCATCCTCATCCACATATAAGGATATAGGGAATATATAGTTAGGACCACAGTTTATCATTTGTGATTAAATCATAAGCACTTTCATAAAAGTGATGAAAATATTGACTGTACCTGTAATAAAAATAGTTTTGTGGAGAAGATAAGTTGTAAGAGAGCATTAAGCAATAGAATTTCTGAACTCAGATGGATGGTGGTAGGCATTAACTGCCCAACCCTCTCATTAAATAAATAAGGACATTTAGGCCTAAGGACCTAAGGGCCTAAGGACCTAAGGACCAGAAGGCCTCCGTTGAGGCTGAGCTGGTAAAGAATCCGCCTGCAATGTGGGGAACCTGGATTCAATCCCTGAGTTGGGAAGATCCCCTGGAGAAGGGAAAGGCTACCCACTCCAGTATTCTGGCCTGGAGAATTCCATGGACTGTGTAGTTGATGGGGTTGCAAAGAGTCAGACAGGACTGAGCAACTTTCACTCAGGCCTAAGGAACATTGAGTGCCCACTCTACCTACCGCCAGACCTAGGCCCATCCATACTCCTTCTACACCATGGTGTATTTTTTCCAGAATTAAATATGCTTTTCTTTGTCCTTCTGAACCTCTGTGATACCAAATCATGAGAGAAGACTGATCTAGGATTCAGATCCAGATTTTCTGAACTTTCTTTGCTATGGTGTATCAGAAATTATACTGTCATTCTTAGTTAAAAGCCTGCCGTGTTTTCGTTATGGCCTTTCTATTTTGTTAATGCAAGTAATTATATTCACTGTCTATGTGGCTTCTTAGGAACCCACATGCTCTGTAAATTTTGCCTTTAATTTGCTATATTAATCTGTGGCCTTGGTCATTCATTCATTTAGTTAGCACGCACTATGGAGTATGAATTCAGTGAATTCCTCACAAGATTTAGGAGCCTGGATGTTAACTCATACAAGTTTGCAAAGGTGCTTTTAAAATTACAGTAGCATTTGCCATCCCAAATTCCAAAGATTCCTGGATGCCCTTAGAGAAGTCTTACCCGCTTACCCCACCCTAAATGTCCTATCTCTTTATTCTAAATGCCCCATCTCTTTGTAAAATTTCGTCCAAATTTAGCCCCTGAGTTCAAATACTTCCCTTTATGTGACAGAATATCTTTGGAAATGTTAAAGTTAATTTCCAGAGATATAAACATTTCCTTGTTATTATTGATTTATAATTTAATTCTGTTTTGGTCAAATAATTGCTCTGTATGATTTCTGTCCTTTAGAACGCACTGAGTTTTTTGTTTGCTTTTTATGACACATTATACAGTCTGTTTTGGTGAATGCTATATGCACTTTGTAAAAAAAAAAGAATGTTCTCAACTGTTGAGTGAAATGTTGGATACATTGCAGTTAGTTGAAGCTGGCTGAATGGTTTTCAAATACATTCTTTATTATTAAAAAAATTGCATTGGCATTGTAAGACACATGATACCAACATATGAATTAACAAATTGTGGGACTTTCCTGGCAATCTAGTGGTTAGGGCTCTGTGCTTCCACTGCAGAGGGCCACAGGTTTGATCCCATGTTGGGGAACTAAGATCCTGCAAGCCACGCAGTGCAGCCAAAAAAAAAAGTTGTAACTCTGTACTATAACTTTTTTTATATTTATCTAGAGTAAATCTAGCTTTGATTTGATGTTGTATCTCTTTGATAGTATGTACGAGTGAATGCACACCCATGTGGGGTTCCAGATTTTAATATCATTATCCTCTGGCCAAGTCATTGGTTATTACTGATAAAAGCAGTTTATGTGTTTTGTTTGATTTAGCTGCACAGGCTTAGCTCTAGACACAGCTTAATGAATAGTGTACTTTCTCTTTTGGCTAGGGTAGCTTCAGAGGAGAGCTGTCATTTGAAAGCTGAGCGTATCAGATGGTTGACAGTATGTGCTATGTGTGCCTTACACAGGACCTGTCATCTGAGAAGAGAAAGGGTCTGTTCCATCTTTCATTCTCTGATTCATCCCATTCTGGCCCTCGGAGAGGGTGGCTAATGTTCAAGAGCCACGCCCACATGTGGCTTACGCATAGCTAGGCATCATAGAAAAAGAAAAACTCGACATTTATTAAGCACTTCCATATGCTTAAAAGGCACTGTGCTGAGTGCCTTGTATACATGTAATCCTCAAAAATATTTATAAGGTAGGTACTATTATTGTCCTCATTTTGAAGATAAAAAGATATATAGTTAAAGAATTTGCTCAAAGTTACATGGCTAATACGTGGCAGAATTCCACGCCCACTCTTAATCCTACCTCTGCCTTGCCTCTGTGTTAAAGATCAGGCTGAAGGACCTGATCTTTAACACAGAATGTTGATTGTTGCAAGTTCCAACAGCTTGTTCTAACTTGGAGTTATTGTGGCAACTCTCTTGTACCATGACGTCTGATTTTATTGAGCTGTTTTTGAAACATTCTAATATGCTAGTTGAGTATATTGACACATTTATTGTATTACTTTGAATTGCTGCTTTGGTCACAGACTATGGTTTTATGGAATTAATGTCTCTTGCTAGTTTTCTTTAGATAATTTAACAGTGGATGTGATACATTTATTTATTCCTAAGTAAGAATCCTATCAAGATATTTAAAGAGGTGTAATATAATATGCCTCTGAAAAATGAACGAGGAGTGTGACCTTGTTTTTTATGTTTGAAGATCCAGAATGGCAGGAGTAAAGACCAAAGGCTTATGATGGGACCACCTGACATTCAAAGTAAGACCAGCTTTTCTTTATATTCGCCTTTATAAATGCTTGATAATTCAAGTACAAAATGTTGCATGTTTAGAGCTGGCCATTTCTTTATCTACATATTTTAATTAAGCTCTCAAAATGAACAGTTAAACTCTTAAAGTATATTCATTGGCATTTCTAGTTATCCATCAAATTAGCTTATTTGAATGTAAATACCTCTGACTTCATCATTTTAGCTATATATTTTAAAAGATGTGACATTTATACCTCAAACAGAACTATAACCAGGCCGTGTTAAACATTAATCTAGCCGTGGTCATAAGCCATGTTAAACCAAATATCTAGGAGCAGGAAGAAAAAAGGTTGCTAGGATCTTGTTTTATAGCCCATTTAATAAATGTAGATACTGTAAGATGACATTTGCCACCTCTACAAATAAAAGAATTTTAAAAAAAACCTAGTCATCTGGTCCCATCATTTTGTGGCAAATAGATGGGAAACAATGGAAACAATGACAGACTATTTTCTTGGGCTCCAAAATCATTGCTGATGGTGACTACAGCCATGAAATTAAAAGACGCTTGCTCCTTGGAAGAAAAACTCTGACCAACCAGGACAGCATATTAAAAAGCAGAGACATTACTTTGCTGACAAAGGTCCATCTAGTCAAAGCTATGGTTTCTCCAGTAGTCATGTATGGATGTGAGAGTTGGAGTATAAAGAAAGCTGAGGGCTGAAAAATTGATGCTTTTGAACTGTGGTGTTGGAGAAAACTCTGGAGAGTTCCTTGGACTGTAAGGAGATCCAACCAGTCCATCCTAAAGGAAATCAGTCCTGAATATTCATTGGAAGGACTGATGCTGAAGCTGAAACTCCAGTACTTTGGCCACCTGATACAAAGAACTGACTCATTTGAAAAGACCCTGATGCTAGGAAAGATTGAAGGCAGGAGGAGAAGGGGACGACAGAGGATAAGTTGGTTGGATGGGATTACCGACTTGATGGACATGAGTTTGAGCAAGCTCTGGGTGTTGGTGATGGACAGGGAAGCCTGGAGTGCTTCAGTCCATGGGGTTGCAAAGAGTCAGACGTGACTGAGCGACTGAACTGAGTCATTTCAACCAAAAGATTTAAGGGATGTAAGATCTCTGTCATCACTCTTAAAACATCAGCTCTTGATGCTATCATTTTCAGGAAGGGTACTTTTTGCTTGTCTTGAGTCCTCCTTGAAGAGAGGGCTGAGTCTTACTGTAGTGGATGTGATTGTACTTAAGGGGTGGGGCTGCTTAGACAGGTAAGGAGGGCTCAGTCTTACCAGAGGAGCTTGGAATTTGTCCTGTGTGCAGTGGCGATCCTGAGTGTACTAAGCAGGGTGGCGGCTGGATGGAAGCCTCCTTTATGTGGCAGGCCCCTTGCCAACATCCCCTGACTCAGGCAATATACTGTCTGTGTGCACCTCCAAACATTCTGCCCACATCAGCCAGATGGAGCAGGTGGAATGCCCATCATTCCATGCATAAAAGTCGGCCTTCCAGCCAGAGCTGTTGAAGAGTGAGTTAATTTCTGACAGCATGTTTCTTAAAACACCAGTGAGGTGGTGAGAGTTAGCTGTTTAAATTGGGAGACCTGGTAGATTTGGATAGGAATTTAAAATAATCAGAGCTCTTTCCACTGGGCTGTGATGGCCGATTTATCCTTAATGGTACTTATACAGGTGAGGTAGAGGAGCTCTCAATAGCCCTGCAGATCTTTAGGAGAGCTGGTTGCCTGCTCTTGCCTGGATATGGTTCATTTGCTGGTAAAAGAGAAAAGCATCCTGTTAACTTGCCCTCAATCTAATAGAAGTTTAAAATAATCAAACCAAGTGTTCATATTATTTTGGACTTTCAAATAGATTTCAACTGTATGATGATTGCAATAACTATAATTTATTAACACTTTTAGTAAGTGCTAAGTACCCTGAAACGCCAGTACTTTGGCCACCTCATGTGAAGAGTTGACTTATTGGAAAAGACCCTGATGCTGGAAGGGATTGGGGGCCAGAGGAGAAGGGGACAACAGAGGATGAGATGGCTGGATGGCATCACCGACTCGATGGGCATGAGTCTGAGTAAACTCCGGGAGTTGGTGATGGACAAGGAGGCCTGGCGTGCTATGATTCATGGGGTCGCAAAGAGTCGGACACGACTGAGTGACTGAACTGAACTGAACTGAACTGAAGTACCCTGAACTGAGATGGACATGTTACATAGATTATTTTGTGTGTTTTCCTTTAATTCTGTCAAGCCATGATTGTTAAAATATAAAAAAGTGAAAATTTCCTCTTAATTCTGAGTTTCAGACATAACCACTATTAATGTTTGATCTGTGTACCTCTAATAAGTATATGTAATATACACACACAAATACATGATTTTAAGTACATTGGCTCAATATTAAACGTATTCTTCAGTAATCTGTTTTTCTCTTAATATATCCTGCATATCTTTTCATGTCAAGTACATAAAATCTCTGTTATCTGTTTTAACATTGCATAGTATTCTATTATATGTACCATTATTTATTTAACCAGTTTCTTGTTAGTAGACTTTCAGGCTCTTTCTAGCTTAGGGCCATTATAGTCCTTTAGTACCTCTCCATGACATTTTTGCACACTTGTTCTGTTATTTCCTTAGGATAAACTTCTAGAAGCAGAACATTGGTTTAAAGGGTATTGCTAATTGTCCCTTAAAAATTCTGTTTCAGCTGATACAGCATTACCATTTGAAAGTGCTCATTTCCCCAAACTTGACCAACACTGGCATTTTCTTTGCTTGTCTTTAGATATTATTCCTCATTTCTGCAGCAATCTTATAAATTCAGTGCTCATCTCAGAGATTAAAAAACAAGACAAGACAAAACAAAACCCCACCAAACCCTGAGACTTCAGGAAGAAACTTGCCCCAGATCACAGAGCTTACCAGTGATGGTGCTAGGGTTTCAGCCAGCCCTTCATGGCTTCAAAATGGGTGGTTTCTCCACTTCCCTGGGACTAGTAAAGTCATTTTTTATCTACTTCGCTTTAGGCTCATCTACATTTTCTGAGCCCACTGTCTGATATCTTGCCATTGACATTTTATTTTACAATCTTCCATTGACACTGGATTAAGAAAACATGGCCATCTCTTCCATTAAGTGGCAAACTCATAAAAGCTTTTCCTTTTCTGAGTCTCTAAGGCTGTTCCCTTGAGGCATTGTGTGCAATTTCAGCACATGCAGTAAAGCTATTGATATGTTGGGAAGTAAGTTTATCAAATTCTCCCTATCAGGTTAAAAACTCCCCTGTCACTGGGTTCTTACCTGGAAAAGGGCAAGGGAGAACCTTCTTTCACTTCTATTTAGGTGGGTTTTCAAGACAACTCCTGTTTAGCATGGGGACTTGTGTTTTGTTATCAGTTAGTTAAGTGTTTCAGTGTGAGGTTAGAAGCTTGGGGCCGAGTATAGCTGGGGAAGAAAGAGATAGTGGGGGGAAGAAAATCGGGAAAGAGGACAGGTGTGACATAAAAGCCAGCAGGGACTAGGAACAGTCCTAGTTCTCCTTCAGTTTTGTAAATGATTTCTCTCTCACCCCCAGGAGAACCAGTGAAGAGATCCATTCAGGAATCAGGAGCATTTTTGCCTCAGGTACAGAATAAATGATCTGACTTGGTAGTGTAAGCACAATATCTGTGGAGAACATTGGTGGCTTTACAAATATCTGTCTATTAAGAATTCTTTGTGACAGAAGGATGCTGAGGATGCTCTTCTGAGAACTCTTCTGTTCTAAAGGGGAACCTTGGATGTAGCAAAGAAAAAGATGTTGACGTGGATTGCCATTAGTGAACTTTGGAATACAGGCAAATTCCAAAGTGGCATTTCTCTTCTCAGCTGAGTGATTGCTGAGTAAATAAGTAAGCAGTGACCCTGAACCTTGACTTGTTATGGCTTTTTCTATGCTGGTACATCTTCTCTATAATAGAAGGCAATAGAAGGCCTGCTTTTGTGTGGGTTTGGAAAAATATCACTTGTACAAACTCAGGTTGCTGTGGAAACTTATGACCCATCTTTTCTCTGTGTTTTACGTTATCTTTATGTCACAAAGCTAATGTGTAAAGGGACACTGCGGGCTTCATTAAAACTAATTAGAAACTAAAATAACTGGTTGATGTTGACGGGAAATGTCAGTCATGGTGACTTCAGCCTGTGCCTATTGAGTAACTCATCTGCCAAAAGGAAAGTTAAGGAAATCCAAAAGAAAAGATAGTATGGGTGGGCCCTTGAGGTAAGAGAACAATGTTTAGCTTCTTTGACAATCCCTGCTTTCCTTTCCAGCACATAGTGGAAGAGAGATATAAGATGCAGAGCAAGCCCCTGGGAATCTGCCTGATAATTGACTGCATCGGCAATGACACAGGTAGGTGTGGACGCTCCAGATGAATTGATGCCCCATAGTGATATCGAGGCACACACAAGCAGAGTTCATCAGAGGCATCAACACTAGCTGCTGTTTAACAAACCACTGCCAGAAATGTGGTTTCACACAGGAAGGGTAGTTTCTTACTCACGTCTGGTGGGGATGGGGCTGGGGAGCGTCACTGCAGGTGAACGTCAGTGGGGTCATCGTCTGAGGGCTTGGAGTTTTCTTTGGATCCTCTGTGTATGGCTGGTGGGTGAAAGAAGTGAGTGGAGGAGCTCAGAAGGACTTTAGGGACAGGCTTGAAAGTGATACGTATCATTTCTACCCACAATCCTTTGGTTAGAACTCATGGCCCCTTCCAACCACAATAGACAAGGAACTGAGTCTAGCCATGTGTCAGGAGGAAAATGAAAGGGAGCTGGAGGAACCCACAGTGCTGTCTCTGGCACAAAGGCAAATTTTGTGAAAGTTGGAGAGGTCCTGTCTTTGCTTTCCATACTAGATGCTGCGGCAGGAAGGAGTCCTGAAGTCCAAGGAGGGGTTAAAAATGGAAGGTTTTTCTGGGCTTTAGTATTATCAGATGCCCCATCATTTCACCTAGATAGACCTTTAAAGCTTTTCTGGGGAATATTAAAAATAGGATAAATCTGTGCTCATTTAGAGGCAATGTGTCTGCCACCCTGGCCTTTGGTTATTGGCCTGAGTCTATACTACCTGTTTATCCTTGTTTGGATCTGAATGGATTCTTTTGCTCAGTCGTTGGATGTCTGACTCGACCTGAATCAATCACTGGCGATGCATCAAAAAATAATGAGAAGAGCTTATATATGTGCAATAAAGTTTGGTTTCATTATTTCTCTCTTTCCTGAAAGGATTGATCGTTTTATTTCCACAGTTTTCCAGCTTCTCAGCATTCTCTTAGAATGAGTCAGAACTGTGTTTTTTCAGCTCTCGTAAAATGTTACCATGGTGGAACTTGCCTGGTGGTCCAGTGGCTATGACTGGTCTCAGTGCCTGGGGCCTGGGTTTGATCCCCGATCAGGAAACCAGATCCACCTGCGTTAACTAAAGATCCTGCATGCCCCCTAAAATCAAAGATCCTGTATGCCACAACTAAGACATGGTGTGGCCAAATAAGTAAAAATAAATAAATAAATAAATATATATATATTTAAATGTTACCATGGTGAGTTTTATGGGAAGAGAATCCAAGAAAGGTCCAGTTAGCAACTCTTACACTGAATTTCCTGGGATTTCAGATATGATCTCACTCTCTCCTGTCCTGTATTTGGTTAGATGTGAGAAATGCTGTCTCCTGAGCTATAGATGTGTCCCATATTTATTTATTTTTATTTTTCTTAAATGGAGGTGTATTTGACGTACAAGATTTGTTCTTTCTGTTTTAGCCCTTAGTGTTCACTTAAGAATGAGGAAATGCCTTCTCAGAAAGAGATCGTGTGATCGTCCTCCTGTTTCAGTTGTCACCAGTTTTGTTTCATGCATCAGCGAGAAGTTCCCAACTGAACTTGGTGTAGGATGTAGAGCTGTTACGTGAGGAGAATCACAGAGATAAAGCCATGACTTGTGATTTCCGTGGCTAAATTCCAGTGTCTACGTCCCTTGTTGAGTTATGACCCTCTTGTGGGCCGGGACGGAGTGTGTATTTGTATTTTTCTGTGTTACAGAGTTACGATCAGAGTTGAGCCCTGGGATACCACCACATAGGTGTGAGTCATGGCTTTGCCATGTCCTAGTTGGTTCCCTGGGGCACTTTTTCTAGCCTCTCTGTAGCTCCATTTTGCTTCTGTAAACTGAGTTCATAACAGGACACACCTCACAGGGAGGTTAGGAAGAGTGAGTGAGTCATACTTGTTAAGAACTTAGGGCAGTGCCTCACACACACACACACACATTTATCAGGCACTAAAATATCCATTTTGTGGACATTAGTTAATGTTATTTGTCCGTTTTGTTTGTTTAATTTTAGTTGTAGATCGCTGGGCTAGAACTCACCATGGTTTTGACCTTAGCACATGGACCCTGACCACAAACCAGTGAGGGACCAGAGAACTGGGATCCAGAGGCCTGTATCAGTATCTGCAAAATAGCTCAAAGATATTGTCTGTTGATGGGTATGCAGGACTTTGCACCAACACTGTCCTTGACTTTGTTTCTCCCTGGTCTCCCGTTCCCTCCATTCCTTCCATTCCTGATTAACAGCTGCTGGAATCTGCCCATTGGAACTCAGGGAGGGTCATGGAAGCTGGGTGAAGGCTGTTTTCTATAATCAAAGAAATGCAGGGCCCCACAGGGCCCCTGCACAGTATCAGTCTTATCCCCATTTCAAGATGAGCAACCAGAGCACAATAAACTCCCTTTCTATCTTTTCTCATTAAGGAAGAGAGCTGGGATTTGAAAGCTTGACTACAAAGCCTCTGTTTTTAGCCACATGAGCTTCTGCTCTGTGTCTTCAGAACCTGGAACTGGATGACACATGAGAGTTCAGTAAATATTTCGTTGGTGAATGAAGGAAGGAACAAACTCTATTGGTCTTGGTATGTTTCTAAAACCATTCCTTTGTTCCTGTAGAATTTAGCAGACTCCCTTACACCTATCTGTTCCTGTCCTCAAAAAAAATGAGACTTCTATCCGAAGAGTATGTGATTTCCCCAAAACTTTATAGATTTATTCTTCTTTTATTCCATAAATGTTTATTGAGCACCTACTATGTGCAAAACACCACGCTTGGCCCTATGTGAAGCAGGTATAGTGGCTCATTCTTTAAAAAAAATTTTTTTTAAGTTTTTTTTTTTTTTCATTAGTGGCTCATTCTTGAGAAGAACTTTAGAGAAGTCAGTAACCTCTTCTTGGAGCAGATGTAGAGGCTTAAGGATTTGGGGCTAATTGTCTCCGTTCAGTGGCTTTGTGCCTGGCGTCCTCACTGTTGAGTCACTTGTGTCAGAGACTTCGCAAAGCTAGGCTTACACAAGGCCCTGCTTCAGGGTGCCCTGACAAAGCATCTTGTTAAGGAGGGGAGAAGTGAAAGCCCCAGATCACAGACACGTGGACTCTGGACCTTGACCTTGGGGCTGGGGTTTTTAGACTGAATGAAAGATGGTGTTTTCAGATTTTAAGAGGATGTGTTTATTCGTCTTTTCTCCCTCACTGTTTCTGAAAAGCTTGAAGATTTTTGTGTGCTCTTTTAACTAGGCTAAGATGTAGATTTCTCTAATTGATGCTGCACATATCTCTGGGAAATTTGCGCAAGTAAACTTTCTCTTCTAACAGAGCAGCAGTGGTTCTGAAGGCCGAAAGTTGATCAGAGAGCTTCTTTTGCAAGGGTGTTGACTGGAGCTTGGCTGCTCCTTGGGGTTACGCAGCCCCTTTTCTCAATTTTGCTTAATGGAATGGGTTGACAACCCAAGTCAGCAGCATTTTCCTAACTGATAGATATAAACAAATCTCAGCAAGGGGCATCAGAGCAGCCATGGTGGCCTCTGTTCCTGAGCTTTGAAAACACGTGGAAGTCGGACCTGAGATGGTGATGGAGGCTTCACTCCCATAGAGCAGCCACTGTTGCCTGCCAGCTTGAGTGCCAAGGAAGATGAAGCCTCTCCCTCTCAACTCCCACGGCATTAGCAGACTGGTAAAGATAGCTTCCCTGGGAATTGAGCAGGGGGAGGGTGTGTGGAGCCAGGAAGTCTGCGGTGGATGCTTTTTTTCCTGGGCATTCTTGTTTAGTTTGGCTGTGCTGGGCCTTGGTTCCTGCACAGGTTTTTCTCGAGTTGCAGTGTGTGGCCCTCTCGTGGCGCTGGCTTCTCTTCGTGAGGAGCGTGGGCTCTTGGGCACGTGGGCTTCAGCAGTTGCGGCTCCTAGGTCTAGAGCACAGGCTCAGTACTTGTAGCACATGGGCTCAGTTGCTCTGCGGCATGTAGGGTCTTCCCAGATCAGGGATCGATCCTGTGTCTCCTGCACTGGCAGGCAGGTTCTTTACTACTGAGCCACCAGGGAAGCCCTTTCTGAGCATTCTTATCCTCTGAGACTTAAGCAACCTTTCAGTTGGAAACCTAGCATCACTAATGAAATTTCCCTTTAAATCAGTGTGTGTGTGTGTGTGTGTGTGTGTGTGCCCTCAGCCATGTCCCGATTCTTTGTGAACCCCAGTTCTGGGGTTCTGCAGCCCACCAGGCTTCTTTGTCCATGGAATTCTCTAGGCAGGAATACTGGAGTGGGTTGCCATTCCCTTCTCCAAGGGATCTTCCAGACCCAGAGATCGAACCTGCGTCTCCTGAATCCGTAGGCGGGTTCCTTACCACTGAGTTACCTGGGAAACCCTTTAAATCAGTGCTACATAGCAAACCCTTTTTTCACAGACAGCATAAATCTAGGATATAAAGAATAATTTTAGGTCCACAAGCCCTTATTGGAGGCCCTTGTATTTCAAAATTTAAAAGTTTAAGTGTTCAGAACAATGATGTGGTACATATACTATAATTTATAGAACATTCCAGTGGGGTCTAGGGTAGTGCCCCATAATCTGTGATTATCTCTACAGCAAAAGAAATGGATATTTGCACTAAGTGGAATAAAGACCATAAATAGCTTTTCATTAGTCCAGGAAAGATTTTGCTATAAAACAAGTTAGGGAAAAGAACTCAAGTTTTTCAGATTCTGGAGTTTTGGAATTGTGGAAGAGGCATGGTGGGTATGTGGAAAAGCAGAGGACTCTAAGGCTGCCTGAGGGACCACAGAAGCTTCTCTTGACATGCACTTGACATGTTTATTATTAATATTGTTTTCTCCTAAGAAAAGCTAGTCCCGAAGGAATTACTAGTCATCATGTGTAGCTTAAAAAAAAACGACGTTTGTAAAGTAGCTTATAATTTTGTGTGTCCAGTAAATGGATTGTCCAGTAAAACCCCCTGATCAGTGTATCTGAACAAATGGAAAGTCAGGTTTATACAAGCCACCCCCCCCCCACTCTCCGCTTCCCTTCT